CATGTAGGAATAGAGACATAATAGAGACATAATAGAGACAGAATAGAGACAGAATAGAGACAGAATAGAGACAGAATAAAGACAGAATAGAGACAGAATAGAGACAGAATAGAGACAGAATAGAGACAGAATAGAGACAGAATAGAGACAGAATAGAGACAGAATAGAGACAGAATAGAGACAGAATAGAGACAGAATAGAGACAGAATAGAGACAGAATAGAGACAGAATAGAGACAGAATAGAGACAGAATAGAGACAGAATAGAGACAGAATAGAGACAGAATAGAGACAGAATAGAGACAGAATAGAGACATAATAGAGACATAATAGAGACAGAATAGAGACAGAATAGAGACAGAATAGAGACAGAATAGAGACAGAATAGAGATAGAATAAAGACAGAATAGAAACAGAATAAAGACAGAATAAAGACAGAATAGAAACAGAATAAAGACAGAATAAAGACAGAATAAAGACAGAATAGAAACAGAATAAAGACAGAATAAAGACAGAATAGAAACAGAATAGAAGACAGAATAGAAGACAGAATAGACAGAATGCGAAGAGTTTGAGGTCAATTTTGTAATTGAGCAAACAAACCGGCATATAACTAAATACATATATGCAAAATAAACGAGAATACAAATGATAGAATAAACAGAATTTCGGTAATTTCTTGATGAGAAATTTGTGTAAAATATGTAACACAAAATAATGAATATACCGCAAAAGAGAATAGGCCCGCAAATGCTGGTATACAATACAGAGAATTCGATCTCGATTGATTTGTGTGTGTGTGTTTTTTTTGTGTGTGTGTGTGTGTGTGTTGCGAGTTTTAATACGTACTAGATGGAGTTGATTATCGGCCGTACAGGCCGGAGCAGTAGCCACAATTTAAACGTTTCGGGAAGTGTATAATCGATTGTGTTTCGCGTTGTGGAATGCACCGAATCCCCCGATATCTGGCCGACCGACGGATTATTCCCGGCTATTTCCCGGCTATTTTATCGTCGAACGTTCGTTTCGATGGCTGTGCGAATGGCCCTCGCCCCTTCGCCCACCCCCGACCCGCCGCCTCCGCCGCCTCTCCCACCGCGCGTTTTTACCGCGCCTATGTGTATCCGATCGAGGGGTTGATGTTGATGTTGATGTTGATTCTATTTTTTTTTGTTGTATTTTCGTTTTGTTTAATCTGGTCGAAGTTAATGCGTTTTGCGTTTTCGATTTCTATGATTTATTCGGTCGCGTATTTTTTTTTTGTTTAACGTTTATTTAGCGATGGGCAATTTGCCCGTGTAACGGATTAGAGGTCGGATGGCGGTGAAAAGGGGATGATTTGAACACAAAAAAAAAGTTGTTAACTTGTTCGATTTGTTTTTCGATTGTAATCGATTATGATCGATTCTTTATATTGTCGTACATTTTGTACAATTTTAGTTGTTTGGTGTTTTGTAATGTGTATATTCACTCTACTGACTACTCACTCCATTCACTCTTTTCTCTACTCGCTCATTTATTAAATATTACAATAAAATTGACCACAAACTAATCATATTCTGTTTATTCTTTGTTTATTCTGTATATGTTCTGTCTCTATTCTGTCTTTATTCTGTCTACTATTCTGTCTCTATTATGTCTCATGTGAATAACAATTGGCAAATACTACAATAAAATTGACCACAAACTAATCATATTCTGTTTATTCTTTGTTTATTCTGTATATGTTCTGTCTCTATTCTGTCTCTTTCTACTCTGTCTCTATTCTGTCTCTATTATGTCTCCATTCTGTCTCTATTGTGTCCCTATCTTGTCTCTACTTTGTCTCTATTTTGTCTCATATTCTGTCTCTATTTTGTCTCATATTCTGTCTCCTATTCTCTCTCCTATTCTCTTACCTACCTTTCTCTCCTACATCTCCTATTCTGTCTTCTATTCTCTCTATACTATCTCTCTTATGTCTCCTATTCAGTAAACTATTTTGCATCTATTTTATCTCTATTCTGTCTATGCTCTATGTTCTGTCTAATTTCATCTAATATCGATTATAATCGATTACATTGTGTTAAAATCTGTTGCTGGATTAATTAGGCGCGTTATATTATAAGTAACTGATCGAAATTCCCGTAATTCCGAATTTCGGATGAAATCTTTCCGGAATTTTAAGTGTAAATTTCCTTATATAACGTATTCGAAATATTCTTGCCGGAGGAAAATATTTCCAGAAAATCGGCTATATTAAAATAGTTGAGCGGTATTCGACATATTTCCCTCCCGAACTTAACTAGATGTTTATCGAAAACGAGCGAAAAAAAAAACGGCGCACCCTTTCCCTTATTAACGAATTTTCCATCGCGAATTTCGCAACACCAAATTGCAATATTAATTTCATTCGTTATTCAGCAGGTACTGTTTAAATAATAATGGGTTGCGAGTAGTGGAGTGCATTAAATTGAATACATTAATTCGATCACATTGCGCATTAATATACTTATAGTAGAATAAATTCGATGTACTTTTAATGCTGTAAAAAAAAATCATATAAAGGTAGAGTCGTCGGAGGATTTGTATTGTGAAAGTGTATCATAAGGAGCCGGATTTTCTTGGAGATTTGAACGTCCGCAAGCATAAGAAAACCCGGAGAGCAAGGAGTTTTCCTTCGAAACGCATGCCTAAAAAGGCGGGCCCGTCGCTTTTCCGCTTTTCCGCTTTTCCGGCGCGAACTTTTCCGTCGACGGATTACGAAAGTACACCGCGTCGATCCGGTTTTTTACCGGATTTAATCTCCTCCCCGCGACCCGCCGATCGCCCCGGAAAAGTGTCCCGACCGAAAAATAAACTCCGGCGGGACGGATTAGCGTCGGGGAAAACGTCCCGTCCGGTTTTTCCGGGTCGCTTCAAAGGGAATGCGAAATGTCCGTTCCCGCGCGTCTGGAGCCCGAGTTGACGGGCGCGGGACGTGGAAAGTTTAATTGTTTTTTAATTCCCCTTTTCTCGTTTCGATCATTTTTTTCCCGAGTCGCGGTAGCGGTTATTAATTAACCGAATCGAATGAAACGTATTCATAAAGGTAGAGGGAATTTTTTTAACGAACTTATTGTACTTACACTAAAAAGGTAGGGTGAAATTAATTTAGTTGTTTTGTGGAATTGTATTCATAAAGGTAGAGAGAACGCTTTAAACAAACTTATTATAAACCAAAAAAAAGTAGGGAGAAATCAATTTATATTATTTTTGAAAAATATTCATAAAGGTAGAGAGAATGCTTTTAACAAACTTACTATGCACTAAAAAGGTATGGAGAAATCAGTTTATATTATTTTTGAAAAATATTTATAAAGGTAGAGAGAATGTTTTTAACAAACTTACTATGCACTAAAAAGGTAGGGAGAAATTGGTTTATATTTTCCTGAATATTATTAATAAAGGTAGAGAGAATTGTTAACAAACTAATATACACTAAAAAGTTAGGGAGAAATTTATTTTATATCTTTTTTTAAAAAATATTCATAAAGGTAGAAAGAATGTCTTTAACAAACTTAGTATACAACAAAAAAGTAGGGAGAAATCAATTTAATTTATTAATGAAAAGTATTCATAAAGGTAGAGAGAATTGTTAACAAACTAATACACACTAAAAAAGGTAGGGAGAAATGTATTTTTTGCGGAAAATTAGAGGACAAAAGCGGTGTAATTACATATAAAAGGGAAGTTAAATTCGCAAAAGGGCATTTTGCGTAAATCGTATTGATTCATCGGAATTATTACCCCCGAGGAAGCGTACCCTTTTAACCGGTCCTAATCAAACAAGTAAAAGGGGAATGGGAAATTGCGTTTCGTGCATGTGAAGTTTTCCACGGGAAATATCGGGCCCCCCTACCTGCGACAAATTTCATCAGCGACTAATTCGTTTCAATCGACGGGCTCAAATCGAATCTATTTTGCGAATTTTATCGTCATTAGACGCGAAATTTTTTTTCTGCGGAAAGTAAAAATCGTTGATTTTTTTTTGAAAATTTTTAGATAAGTTAATTAACGGATTTTTATTGGATAATTTGGAAATAAATAAAGTTTTACCAATCAGTAACAGGAAGTGGGGTTCACAGAGAGCCTCAATTTATTCGATGCAATCAAATGGATAAACTACTGATGGATTAATTAGGCATTATAATTGAGTAATTAAAATAATTTTTTTAACTGTACTGTGTTATTTACTGTATTTATCGATAAAATAGTAACTTGTACAAGCAACAGGAATAATTAAAATTCGCCGTTAATTAACAATTTCTGGAAATTAAATAAAGTTTTACCATCCAGTAACAGGAAGTTTTTACTTGGGGTTCACAGAGAGCCTCAATTTATTCGATGCAATCAAATGGAGAAACTACTGATAGGGTAATTAGGAATAATAATTGAGTAAATTAAATGATTATTTAATTGTATTCTGTTATTTACTGTATTTATCGATAAAATATTAACTTGTACAAGCAACAGGAATTAATAAAATTCGCCGTTAATTAACAATAAATTTGTTGGAATTAAATAAAGTTTTACCATCAGTAACAGGAAGTGTTTACTTGGGGTTCACAGAGAACCTCAATTTATTCGATGCAATCAAATGGAGAAACTACTGATGGGGTAATTAGGAATTAAAATTGAGTAATTAAAATGATCATTTCAATTGTACTGTTTTATTTACTGTATTTATCGATAAAATAGTAACTTGTACATTAAAATTCGCCTCAAAGTCTACTTAAAAGTGATGTTAATTAAAACAAATTGGTAGATTTTATGAACTTTTATGGTGTTTTAGTTAGTCTTTCTAGATGATAAAAAGAGGTTTAGAATATGTGTGAGTACCTAGTGAAGGATCCCCCTAGTTGTGATTCTAGTCGAGAGAAACAACTAAAGAAAATACAACAGAACCAAAAGTATAAGCAGAATATTATCAACTGGTTAACGATATTATAAGCACAACAAACACAGTAAAAGAATCCTCACCTCTACCGCTCCTCCCGACGAACCTCAAATCATTGAACTTCGCCACCTGGTTCTTCATCACGGCCGTACAGTTCCTCAACTCCGCGCAATAATTCTCATCGTTACCGGCCTTCACCGTCACCACCGTACCGTCCCCGATGTCCCCCAACGCCACCACCTTAAACGCCACCGGCAGCGTCTTGTTCGACCGCCAATGCGGCGGCAGCACCGTGCACACGAACAACGGGCTGCCCGTCCTCACCAGCTCCCCCGGGTGCTCGCTGAGGAAGTCGTTCAACGTCCGCTCGGCCAGTATGTCGCTGGTCATCTTCGTGTAGGTCTCCTGCAGGAGGCTCGTCGCCCCCTCCTGGGGGCCCCCAGCGGCCGCCGCCGCCGTCGAGGAGGAGGAATTGTTGGTCAGATGCATGGTGTGTCACATGGCGCTATTTCCTTCGTTCAAACAGCGCCGCTTCGGAGGCGGTGCGACGGGGTACTATCACATACTTACTCCACCACCACCGGGGTTTTTACAACGAACTTAATGGAGTTAACGATGATAGGTAAACTCGACATTTGGGGGGTATATACGCGAAACTTTCCCTAACTCGAAAAAGAGGGGTAGCGTTCGGAAAACTCGCGCGTTTCGACGGGAAACCCGTTTTTCCGACAGACTCGTGCTCGCGTGTGTTGTGTGTTGTGTGTTGTGTGTGTGTTTGAGCGTGCACCGGCCGCGACGGAGACGGGAAGCGGGCCAGATTAAAACAGAAGCCGACAATAAAGGGGTATACGCGCGCCCGATAGAGAGCGGATAGAGTGTAAGAGAGACCCATCTTGTTTGCGGTCGGAGCGGGTTGGGCTTGGAGGCGCGCGAAAGACGGGGCCGATGTGCGGGGCCGGGAGCGGTGCGGAAAGAGACGGATTCGGCGGCCGGCGGTTTTACGCCGGCCGCAGGACGGCTAGACGCAGGCGTCGCGGCGCCCGTTGAATGGGTAGAGAGAGCGCCGAGCGAGACGCGGGACGCGCCGCGGCCGGCGGAATCGGCGAATGTGTCGTTTAGATGCGTTTGGTTTGCGTATTGGATGGATATGTGAGCGCGTGTATTATCATATGTGTGTGTGTGTGTGTGTTTTTGTGTGTGTGTTTACAGGGTGGAAACGCCAAATTCATTATGGAATAAACTCATTATTTCGGTTATTGTACATATATTTATAGAAAATCCTGAAACACGACAAATTTTAATTATAATTTGACATTTCTCAACGTCAAAATGTGAGCCCTGTCTTCAACCACCTTTCGAATGACAATTACAACTCCTATTTTTTTAATTGAGAAGCATAGCCTTGTGATACGTCATTTGAAAGGTCTCTTCATTCTCTATTCAAAAATGTTGTTGTTTTCAAGTTTATTTCAAAAATTAACACAAAAAATAAAATCATCTAATGGGGCCAAATTCGATATAATACACTCAGTATGTAATACCTAATTGTTCACAATGTAAAAAAATATGAATCTCCTCATCAAATCTGTAATTTTATGCGTTTCTGTTAATCTAACCATTTTTCTAACCTCTTTCATTCTTCGTTAAATATGTAGAGCAAAACCGAAATAATGAATTTATTCAATTTGGCGTTTCCGCCCTGTATGTGTGTGAGGGTATACGTATGTACGAGGGTAGAGCGAGAAATTCTCGGCCTGATACAATGAAGGCGTTGCAATCAGCGAAAAAATATCTTTCTAATTTTCTGTATTGTCGTTTAGAACGCCCCAGAATCATTTAGAACGGTCCAGAAACATTTAGAACTGTCTAGAACCATTTAGAAGGACCCAGAATAATTGTCTAGAACCGTTTAGAACGCGCCGGAACATTTTAGAACGCTTTAGAATCATTCAGAATGCTCCAGAATCATTTAGAACTGTCTTGAACTAAAGATTTCGACTTTTCTTTACTGTCCCTCACTCCTACTCTCCTATTCTCCTATTCTCCTATTCTCCTATTCTCCTATTCTCCTATTCTCCTATTCTCCTATTCTCCTATTCTCCTATTCTCCTATTCTCCTATTCTCCTATTCTCCTATTCTCCTATTCTCCTATTCTCCTATTCTCCTATTCTCCTATTCTCCTATTCTCCTATTCTCCTATTCTCCTATTCTCCTATTCTCCTATTCTCCTATTCTCCTATTCTCCTACTACTCTACTACTACTCTCCTACTCTTCTACTCTCCTACTATACCTTGTATTGAAATGCATTTTAAAGCAAATTCAAAAACTCTGCCTCCTTATCTACCTTTTTATCTACCTCTGTATCTATTTGATGCCTATTTACCTCTTTATCTATCTCTCTATCAATCTTTTTACCTATCCCTCTATTTATCCCTCTGTCTGCCTCCTTATCTACCTCTTTATCTATCTCTTTATTTACCTCTCTATCTACATCTTTATTTACCTTTTTATCTACATCTTTATCTACCTCTCCATCTACCTCTCTGTCTATCTCTATCTCTATATCTGTCTCTCATCATCTACCTCTCTTCATCTATTTCTCTATCCATCTCTCTATTTACGCCCTAATCTACCTCTTTATCTACCTCATTATCTACCTCCCTATCTTTTATATCTCTATCTACCTCTTTACCCGCCTCTATCTTTACCACTCTATCACTATAACTATACCCCTCTAATTACCTTTTTATCCATCTCTCTCGTTCTCTTTTTCTTCGTCTCTCTCTCTCTGTGTCTCTCTCGCACTCGCGATTTTCCTGCTTGCAGAAGCTAGCTGGTCAGCGCTGTATATAAAGGAAGCGGGAAAGCCGAGGAGGCGGCGGCGGCGGCGGCGGCGGCGGCGGCGTTGACCGGGATTAAATCGGCCGCCGTCCGGGGGACGGGGAATGTATGTGAAGCGAAAAGGGGTTGAAAAGTACACTGTTAACGAAAACGGACCTTGTTAGTGAAATTTCACACAATGGTCCGTAATTCAAAGTGAACTATGCGAACGGACAATAGGAGAAATGGGAATGTGTGTGTGTGTATGTGTATGTGTGTATTATACCGAAAACGGACAAAAAGGAAAATCGAGGGAAAAGCGCGCCTGCTAGATTCGTTTCGCGCCCTCCGCTCCGGATGAATCCGGGCAGATCGCAGATGGCCTGACTTCGTTTTCGCGTTTTTCCGGCATGTAAATGGGGTTAGTCGTTTTTTCACTCTTCGCGTTCGGTCGTATATTCTTCTTTCTATTTGTTTTTAGGTGGATTTGTGGCCCGTCTATTTCTGATATACGACTATAGAAATAACCGTGTTGTACACTCCCTGGAAAAAAATAAATAAATACACGAATTAGATTAATGGCGAAACGACAACAAAAATATACATTTAACGCGGATGTCGCCTGTTGAATTCGCCCTGACAAATCGACTTTTAATGTCAAACATCCACCCGTTTCCCGTGTATGTATTTGTACACGTCCAACGAATTCGGTAATTTATTATACAGGGTGTTTCCTAAACATCGTGTACATCCTAAAGGGGGTTCATTTTATGATTAAAAGTTCATATAAACGTGAATCCCCAAACGCTTCGTTACTGATCTACAGGGTGTTGAAATTAGAGTATCTTAAAAACTGCAGGAGCTCTAAAATAACACCCTGTAGGTCAGTAACGAAGCGTTTGCGAACCCACGTTTATATAAACTTTTAGTTATAAAATAACCCTTTCGGATATGTACACGATGTTTAGGAAACACCCTGTATTACCCTCTACATCACACACATACACACACCGTCTAATTACCATATAATTAAACGATTCAAACAAACAATCCTCGGGGGCCGTAAAGAAGAAGAAACGAGCGCTAGGAGGGGTTTAAAGTATTATTAAGGGCGTAATTTAAGGTCCGAGGGATCGGCGCAGCCGGTGGGTAAATCAAAGACGGGGGTGACCGACGGTCAAAGGGCGAGGATTATCTGGACCTTGTGTTTCCAGCATAAAAGGGAGAAAGGGTTGAAAGCGACCGAACGAAAGGGTATTGTTTCACTGCGTTATTTTGATTTCGTTGCGAGTATACAAAAAAAAATACTTTACAGCGATCATCGATAGCGAACGGACTATAATTGTAGCGATAAAACGCCCTGTTAGCGAACGGAGTATAATAATAATAAGTAGCTCTTTATCTTTCTCTCTACATATCTTTTTATCGATCACTCTATATGTACCTCTCTGTTTGCCTCTTATCTACCTCTCTGTCTATCTCTATATCTGCCTCTCTTCATCTATTTCTCCATCTATCTCTCTATTTACGTCTCAATCTACCTCTTTATCTACCTCCCATCTTATCTATCCAAAAGGGTATTGTTTCACTGCGTTATTCTGATTTCGTTGCGAGTATACAAAAAAAATACTTTACAGCGATCATCGATAGCGAACGGACTATAATTGTAGCGATAAAACGCCCTGTTAGCGAACGGAGTATAATATTAATAAGTAGCTCTTTATCTTTCTCTCTACATATCTTTTTATCTATCCCTTTATCTACCTCTCTGTCTATCTCTATATCTGCTTTTCTTCATCTGCCTCTCTTCATCTATTTCTCCACCTATCTCTCTATTTACGTCTCAATCTACCTCTTTATCTACCTCCCATCTTATCTACCCAAAAAGGTATTGTTTCACTGCGTTATTTTGATTTCGTTGCGAGTATACAAAAAAAATACTTTACAGCGATCATCGATAGCGAACGGACTATAATTGTAGCGATAAAACGCCCTGTTAGCGAACGGAGTATAATATTAATAAGTAGCTCTTTATCTTTCTCTCTACATATCTTTTTATCTATCCCTTTATCTACCTCTCTGTCTATCTCTATATCTGCTTCTCTTCATCTGCCTCTCTTCATCTATTTCTCCATCTATCTCTCTATTTACGTCTCAATCTACCTCTTTATCTACCTCCCATCTTATCTATCCAAAAGGGTATTGTTTCACTGCGTTATTCTGATTTCGTTGCGAGTATACAAAAAAATACTTTACAGCGATCATCGATAGCGAACGGACTATAATTGTAGCGATAAAACGCCCTGTTAGCGAACGGAGTATAATATTAATAAGTAGCTCTTTATCTTTCTCTCTACATATCTTTTTATCTATCCCTTTATCTACCTCTCTGTCTATCTCTATATCTGCTTTTCTTCATCTGCCTCTCTTCATCTATTTCTCCACCTATCTCTCTATTTACGTCTCAATCTACCTCTTTATCTACCTCCCATCTTATCTACCCAAAAAGGTATTGTTTCACTGCGTTATTTTGATTTCGTTGCGAGTATACAAAAAAAATACTTTACAGCGATCATCGATAGCGAACGGACTATAATTGTAGCGATAAAACGCCCTGTTAGCGAACGGAGTATAATAATAATAAGTAGCTCTTTATCTTTCTCTCTACATATCTTTTTATCTATCCCTTTATCTACCTCTCTGTCTATCTCTATATTTGCCTCTCTTCATCTATTTCTCCATCTATCTCTCTATTTACGTCTCAATCTACCTCTTTTTCTACCTCCCATCTTATCTACCCAAAAAGGTATTGTTTTACTGCGTTATTTTGATTTCGTTGCGAGTATAAGTAGCTCTTTATCTTTCTCTCTACATATCTTTTTATCGATCACTCTATATCTACCTCTCTGTCTATCTCTATCTATTTCTGCCTCTCTTCATCTATTCCTCCATCTATCTCTCTATTTACGTCTTAATCTACCTCTTTATCTACCTCTTTATCCTTTCTATCCAAAAGGGTATTGTTTCACTGCATTATTTTGATTTCGTTGCGAGTATACAAAAAAAATACTTATCGTGTACCGATCGCGAACGGACTATAATTGTAGCGATAGAACGCCCTGTTAGCGAACGGAGTATAATAATATTCCAAACGGCTTAATAAAAAAAGGCGAATTTCGTGTTGCATCGACCACCAGGCGTTCATATTTCCTCTATTTATTAAAAGCCAGATATATATTAAACCGTGTCGTGTTTGAAACGGGACCACCCAACGAACGGTGGAATCGAAATGTAAACGGAAGTGTAATGCACGTGTGTTGTTTCGTACGGGATTTCTAAACAACCATTTCCAATATGAACAAACAACGAACCGGGAATGAATTTATCCCGGCGTTGTTTTCGTTGCCGAAGATAGGTTTAGATTTATCGGTTTTTCGGGACCACCTGGCCCGAAGGATAACACACACCCTGTATACATCAACGGAAGGCTAATTTATAGCGAAACTGTATACGCTGTATATATGCATGGGGACGGTTAAACGGGGGCGGCATTCCTTCGGAGCGTGACGCTCGGGCGAATATTAATTCGGGGACCCTTTTGCGCCCGTTGTATAAGGTGACCCCTTTAGGACATTAGCTTTCAGTGACCAGCCCCTCGGGGAAGGCGCTGTCCCCCTATTTTCGG